TAAGTAAAGCCTGAAAGCAAGACAAATAATGAGAAAGATACATTAGAAACTTGAAATACACAGAGATAATTAATTCTTCTTAATACTAGAGGAACACAGAGAAAGTATCTTTAGGAAGGAGAAGTTCATTCTGAGAGGAAAACATCCTGCTATGCTTAAAATGGGAAACCATTGCAGCCATCACATGTGTATTTTTCACTGCACAAGCTTGGAAGTGCAGAAGGCACAGCTCACACCATGCAAGCAAGGCAAAGAGTTTTCCTTCTCCTTTTGTTTCTGCCACAGAGCTACTGATTTACGAGTACCCTTGACAATAGGACCCTGTGGCAACCATCCTAAGATAAATCCTGCTTGTGCAAACACTTTCAAAACAGGCAGAATATCTGAGTCATGCAGGAAAGCATGATGCACTTCTACGGTTCACCTTTCAGTTCAAACTCTCTGCACTCAACCTGTACGTCCATGGAAGCCAAAGTGCAAATAATGTGACAAATATCAAGGATTTATCCCAGGAACTGAGTAACTGCTTCATGACTCAGACTGGAATTAATCTGCAATGCTGCACAGAGGTAAAATTCAGAGAGGAAGGTATTTCGGAGATGGTGTTAGGATTAATACAAGTCTCTCTGCCCACAGAACTATGAAGAGCTGACTGGTGAGCAGCCTGTCTCCAGAAGCAGGAGACCAAGGACAACAGTTGCTGTTCATCTTAATTTGCTTGTCTCCAGCTCCAGGGGCTGCTGACCTTCTGTAGTTCAGCAATCTCATATCCACAGCCATCACCATGTGCCAATTCAGATGGACAAACCTCCTTCACAGCATCTCATTTGCCCTTTTTCCCCCAATATTCCCACATCACACTCCTTAAAGCTGCACTGGTGTTCACAATAGCACTCTCAGACTTTTTACCTCTTTATCAGCACAAGCCTCTTGTTGCCAGCCTAGCTTTTTCCTATTCAAAGCACATTTGTCAGGCAGCCAAGGGTTTGCAAAAACTAAGTGTCCAGAGGGCAACAGTCTCTGCCTCCATACAACCACACCAGAAAGATGCTCTTGACAGAGACTTCCTTCCACTGAACTTCTCCCCTCTCTCTAGTCCCCTCTGCAAGAGAAAACTGGACTAATATTTCACATCATTTTAAAATCAAGTTAAGCAAAGACAAACCTGTTCCAGTGCCCTCTTACTTCTGAGGGGATAGCACATTTTGATTTTTCCTAAGAGTAGCTCATAAAGACTTACTCTAATCCCAAAAAGAAACCTGGTCTAAAGCAAAACAGGATCACATTTACACATTTCCACAACAGTTCAAAAATATCAGATAATATGATATCAGACAGAAATCATTACTGCACTTGAATCTTGCGACTTTTTCATAACCAAGATGCAATCCCAGCACCTCAGACAACACTAACTTCTCATATACTAATTTATTACATACCACAGTAATACATATTTCCCCCTTACCCCAAATAAAAAAAAAACCCAACCCAAACAAACAAAAAAATCAACAGCTAAATAAGCAAGGATGCAAAAAACCATAGGCTCAAGGACGTGCTGCAGACAGGTAAATTTAAAGATTCTGGTGAAAAACACTAGTCAGGGTTGATTCTCTCTCCCAGTGCTCTGCTCAGTCTTGGCATTAGAGAGTCAAGATACCAAAAGGGAAGAGTGAATAGTGCAAAATGTAGTGCAGTACATACTTGAATTTTTGTACAAGAGCTAACATCACTTCAGTAGATGAGAAAAAAAAAGAAGCTTAGGCATGAAATTTCACTCAAATGTACTAGTTGAAGACTTGTTTACTAGTTTGATTTTTTACTTTAAAATATGGTGTAGTAAACACTGTATTTTTCATGGATTTAGTTTCTATGTGAAACTGACGAATGTCACACGTGCTCACAGAGAGACAAAAAATCTCTGAGAATACATGCTATTTTAGTTTTAAAATTAACCTAAAAATCCAGGAGGGTGCTGTGCACAAGGGGCACAAAAGAAAAATACTGCGATGCTGAAACTTAATGAATTTACAATTCTTGCTATTCCATCAGTGCTCTGAAAGTAATCAGAACAGGAACAAAAAGCCAAACCATAAATGCCTGATTTCTCCTGGGTAAACTGGTAGTTAAACTGCAGGGAATTTATTTAAATTCTAGCAGCAGGCAGGGGGGCTTGGGAGAGCCCACATCAGATTAGCAGCAACGTTTCACAAACAGGCACTATTGAATTCCACTACAACCCAGTTATGGGAGCAGCTTCTACCCCGACCTGAACAGTGCCCCTGCCTCCCTCTCTCCCAGCCTTTCAGGAAGCTATGAAACTAATTTTCCCCAGCAGTATTCTCTGAAGGAAAAGTTCACTTCTTGTGAAGGTAGCATGTATTTTTTAATTATTATTATTATTTTATGCTTCCCCAGGGAAGGTGAGGAGGGGGGAGCTTCCTTGCTCAACAGAGAAAGAAATTTTCCTGTATTAGTGCCAAGAATAGACACCCTAAATTCAGCGATCCTAATCTCCAGCCATCCATCAGCAGCAGGGTGGGACCAGCTGATTCAGATTTTCTATTAGCTAGTGACTTTGTGTACTAAAATAAGTCCCTGTACCACCCAATTGTTCCTACTGCTCTCTCTGCTCTGCAAAAGCACAGACTTAACAGTAGCTACCTCAACTGTAAGTACTTCCCCAGCAGGCCCTTTATACCGGGCACGATCCTCTTCCCACCAGCTCTTCCAAGTCCCTGCGTGCCCCTGTGACTTTACACCATGAGCATTTCATACAGCATGTGCTCCACCATCCTTTCAGCATGCATCAGGGAAAATGCCAGCTCCAAGTCTCTACAGTACCACTGGAGGCAGAACCCGGGTACAAACCAAATCTGCAGACAGAATACTCGAAGGTAACTGTTCATTTCCAGGGCCAATTAGTATTCATACACACAGTGGGCACTCAGATAGGGCACACTGCATGACAAACAAAGACAGGATAAAATAGTAAACCTTCCAGCTCTACATGTTAAAAAACATGGGAAGATATCAAAAGTGTTTGGTAATATATCAGCCTAATAAATTATTCCGCTGGGCAAATCTTAAATAACCCATTCTCATTGGTTATTTTTCTGGACTAGAAAATAAAGTACATGTAATTGATTAACATGAGTCCATTATTTACACAGCAAAATCAATAGCAGAATGCATAAACTGGCAAACAGTTTGAAAATAACACCAAATAAAACCAATTAAAAACGCATGATGGAGGCTAAGAGAAAACTCTATTAACCCAGACAACTCACACAGCTGATAATCTGCAAGCTCTCAAGTTCCACAGACTAGTGCCACATATTGGGAACAAAAGTAAAGAAAGGATTTGAGACCAGATCAACTCAGTTAAAGAAAAGCATCTGTCTCGGTGGGTCACACAGACTTCTATTTCCATTCACATTCCTGTAATCACAGAGAAACAAAAGGAGGTGGCAAACCAGGTCTCGCTGGATCCTGGCAGCATGGGCCATGCACAAGTGACTAAATAAAGGCTAAGATAAAGGTAAATGTTTCATGAGCTCAGAAAGCTCTGGAGCAGCAGAAGAACAAGCATCCAGACACACACATTTGACCTAGAGCTTCTCTGCAGCTCAGAGGACAGAATACTTTGGACTCCTAGTTGTAATTCAGCATCCCCATCAGCCAAAGAGAAAGGTAGCCAGCCATGTCAAAGGAGATGATATACCTGCGACCAAAATTCCAGATAGTGACTGCTGACTTTGGGTGCCACATATCAACCAAATTAATAGAGAAAAAACTCCTCCTACCTACCTTCCTCCCCAGGGACAAAACTGGCATCCAAAACACCAACACAACACCAAAGATATGTAGTTCCCTTCAAAAACATCAGCAGCGGAAATTCAAAGAAGAAAGTCTTATTTTCCTTTTTTTTTTCTTTTTTTAACTTAAAAATGCAATGGAAACCTCAGTAAAAAAGGCAGAAATATGAATTGCCCATTTGATCAATTAATGTAGTGAGGTATTTCAAAGAACGCCACTAATTTAAAATCATCCCTAGCAGGGATCTTTGTACGGTTAAATTAGTAAAGCAAACAAACAAACAACATACATTGCAAACATGGTAAAGTATGCCAAGTGTTTAGTCTCCTACAGCAAAGTAAGGAGAGAGATTATGCAATCCTTAACTCAGCTTTATGGAATTTTGAAAAGAAGAATGCTAAACATTTTGTTCAAACCATTGGGTTTTGAATTTGGAAAATATAGTTCTTTACCCAAAAATTAATAGAACACATATCACGCTAATACATCAAGTAAACATTTACTAAAGTTTGCATCAGCTCTGCTTATTATGGGGTAACCAATTACTTATATATTGCCCATCTCCACCTAAACCATTGATCATATAAAATTCCACTATGCAATGCATATACAAATTACTCTCTGCTGATAACTAAAGGTTACCACCACCAAGACCAAACTTATGCCAGCAATGTAGTACCAACCACTACTGATAGGACAGTAAAGAAAAAAACAAACCAATTAATCTTTACAGTAGATGCTAACTCCTCCAGAAAGCACCTCTGTTTTCTGCCACACTGAAGTGGGTTGAGTACATAACACTAGAGCAGATTAACACCTGTGTGACACAGAAACAACATGCATTAAGCATGGCTCAAGTTCTCCATGTCATGAGCTTGATTCCCACTTCAGCATGCTATAGCTCCATAAGGCATCCTGTAGGAGATTTCTTTCTGGCTACTATAATAAATGTTAACAATTGAGGTTCTTATTTATTAAAATGCAAAAATGCAAAAAAGAATTAATAGTGTTCTTTGTGTTATTTAATCTAATGCTACTTTCTGTTTTACATTGTCTACATTTTCAATGGATTGCAGACTAACTGTATAAATATGTCAATGGAAAGCTAGAAGTTTTGTCACTTAGGAAGGTACACAGAACAAGTATTTCCAGTTCCCATGTATAGCATTAAAGAGACAGCTTACCCTTTCCACTTGTCCTTCTTTGTGCTTCAGTTTGTACACTTTCAGCTTTGGAAGGAAAGTCTCTGTGTAGTTCCTGTCTTCCATACCTTGGAGCAGTACCCCATGGAATGCCAACCTGCAAGTATTGGCGTGAATATCCGTATCCAGCTTAGAGCCGATCACTAGGCACAGTTTAGGACAAGTGACTGGTTTTTCAAACTCTAGCAAAGCCCACTGTTGTCTTGGGAGCTGGACTTCTGCCTGGTCATTTTCTTTGTTCTCTGAAGAAACTGAGTCCTTGGACAAATATTCCTCTTGATAAAGATAATCTTTTTCAAAATCAAAAACATTTTCTTTCATTTCTTCATTGAAATCAGCAGGGGCTGGACTGAAAAACATCACTCTTCCCATAACTGTTTCATGACCAACTGTGATGTGGAACTTGGCCTTAGTCTGAAGAGCTCCTCGAAAATACGAGATTTTCTTCAAGGAGATTATTGCAGCGTGGATGGTGTGAAGTGAATCTGGGGTGCAAATTAGGCCTCGTTCCAGCAGTTTGGGATCAAACTGGGTTACACAGATACCCACTCGGTCACCCTGCATAGCATAAGTCACTGGAGTATGGAACATCTGCATGGACTTGACTTTCTTTGTCACCTATTGATGAAAGGGAAAGAAAAAGAATGAAGCAATTAATCACTCACATGCTTATATCATGGTATATCAGCCACATATGATACTCTGCTGTATGGTAAGATGACTGACCTTCTTGAAGAGGCCACAATTCACAAAATTGAAATTAAAGACAGAGAACATACTCCATCATTTAAAATTACCACAGATTTGAGCCTCTTAGCTTATTCTGCTTCTGTCCATGAGACTGGAAGATAATCACGGCCACAATTATGTTGATATTTGCATCACCTGTGCTGCAATACCCACAATACTATCTGTAAATCATCAGAGATACCCACACCATGGAATAGCTTATTTAATATACACTCCCCCAAGCATCTGCATCATCAAAACTGTAGCACTACAATACCCATTCATGCACCTATGTGACTGCTTTCCCACCCTTTCAATTAAATCCTTTCATAGACTTCTTTGACATGGTTGAATTCTACTGTAAAACGTTCAGAGCAAAAATCTTCTCCTTGTAACGTATTTGCACAGAACTAAGCACAATGAAATCTTGTAAGCCATCACTGCACAGTAATTAGTAATACAAAAATGCACCACCTCCTAGTCTGTAACATTCCATATATTTAAAAAAGTAAAAAAAACTTTCTTATGAAGATTTAAATGTTCATAAATATATGGCTAGCAGTGCTGTCACTACAATGTGGGGTTCCACCTCTTAGGAATATCATAGGACAAGTGCAGCACCGATCACCAGTTACACTACAACATCCCAGATGCTATGACAGTTTGACCTTAATGAGCTTGCTATTGTATTAATTATTTCAAGGAGACTAGAAGACTGAAACAGCTTTTAAAGATCAGTCCAGGCACAGCTTGATCAGACTAAACCAGTTTAGTTTTACAAGGCTTCATTTTGGCTTTTACAGTTCAGCAAATCATCCTTTAATACAATTTCCTCTCTACCACAGTTTGCATGTAACTAAAGGTTCTTTCTGACAGTGTTTATGGTGCCACCTGTTGCATTCACACTGACACTAGATGCTTGGATAGGTAACCGCTCTGCCTGAAGACCCAACATTAGACAGCTTTTAATACTGAAATGATACTTTTGGCAATAAAAAAAACTTTTCTCCTAAATATTACGTACTGCCACAAGAGTCCTTAGTACAGAAAGGTATACACATTTTTGAAGGGCTGAAACCTCAATATTCAGATCCAAGAACTGAACTCCCCATGGCAATGCTCAATTCCAGAGATCATTTCCTTAGTATGTCTTTATCTATGTAAAAGGATTATACTGTGAATGCAGACAGAACAACAACATTGCTAGAACAGATCTCAACTCTCAGAATTCCTTCTCTCTTCCTTTTCTTAGAAGTAACTCTACAGCTATCAAAGAAGTTCACATCAAACATTACCATTCTCAGCATTCAAACCATCAGTATCTTTCTTACTCAGCTGGAACTGTTCTCAAATCAATCTCCAACCACTGCATGACCCTTAGTAGCACATCTTCTAATCCTAGCCCACCCCATTTACCTTCTAACTCCTGAAAGTAAGAAACCAAAATACACAAGGACTGATGAAGAAAACCCCAAACCAAAAGACTGGACTCCGCAGAGCTGGGCTTCATCCTCAGATATCACACAGCTTCAAGTACAGCATTTAGGTTAGACAACTCTACAGTCTAGAGAACTTAATTTTAACTACACACCTATTTACTTGGCATTTCATAATACTGAAAACATCAGCTTTTTTCCTGCATCTTAGATGAAGTGCCTAAGTGGAAACACAACTATGTTTTTCACCTTTTCCTTTCCTACACAGCCTGCTGCCCTGTAAGGAGGACATTGAACTTGGCTTCAGCAAATCTGTGTATGCCTATGCCCAACATCACCAGACTCAGAGGGGAACAAATTGCAGCAACTTAGATCAAAATGGAGGGAGAGATGAAAAGTCTATTGGCTGAACTAAAACCTTCAGTAACTGGAATAAAGAGCTCTCCAAGTAAGTCAGCAAAAAAATGGTCACGGGCAATATACAGAAAGCTGATTTAAAAAAAAAAAAATAAAATCTAGATGCTGCATTTCTGGAAAACAAGAAAAAGCCTGTATTTCTTTTGGAAATCATAATTATACAAATAACAATGCTCAAGAGCTTCACCACTATGAATATTGTTTGGGTTCCCTGAATCTCTGGCTGCTAACCAAAACCAAAAGTAACGCCCTTTTATGGATTATAATGTTATTATTACAACATTTTTCAAATCAAATGCCACATCAATGCCTATGAATTCTTGAAGAATCCACAAAATATTATGAGAAAAGAGATCAAGAGGTATGTTCATGTAAGAGAAAAACCCCTAACTAAAAAGCCTGGGCCAAAATAGTTTGTGAAGATCTTAACTCATGTCAAAACAGACTTAAAAGGCCATTCTCAATACTCAATAGAGTTTCAGTTTCAAACATTATTGTACTCTAATATATATTCATTATCCCTTTAGCTAACCCTCCTAGACAGTACTACCCACCTAGATAAATTGCAGTGAAACAATTCAGCATTTACCTCCAGCTACCTACTCACTTCCAGGACAGTAATTTGAAGGCTGAAAGTACAGGGGCTTGAATCAAACCCTTCCTAAACTCTTCCTTCTTTCATTCACTATCCCTCCCCTCTCCAGTCTCACTGTTCTAGCTGCAACACTGGTGATACAATGTTTAAGGACATGAAAAGGAAAAAAACCCAAAACCAACAAACAAACAAAAAAGGTTTTCTAAACATAACTGCTTCAAAGATATAAACAAGCACTACAAGACTGAAACTGTCATATGAAAAGTACCAGCCCAAACCATTCTGGAAGACTTCTGCAATTTCATATTTGATATTACTGGCAGTAAATCTTTCCCCTTCTACAACCATGGACAGGGTGAATAAATTGTCAAGGACTAAGGAATCTTCCAGCACTGTCACTCCTCAAAACGAAACTAGGACCAGAAGATGCACAAGAGATCTGTCCAGTTTTTTATCTTAAATGGAGCTTCTTTATTATTCATAGAATCATAGGATCATAGAATTTTAGGGGTTGGATTGAACCTTACAGATCATCTAGTCCCAACCCCCTGCCCTGGGCAGGGACACCTCCCACTAGTTCAGGTTGCTCAAGGCCTCATCCAGCCTGGCTTTCAACACTGCCAGAGTTGGGGCATCCACTATTTCCCTGGGCAACCTGTGCCAGTGTCTCACCACCCTTATAGTAAAAAACTTCTATTATTTATCAATATTCCATTTTATAATATCTGTTTTTAGAAATTACCCACCTAAATAGTTGAGTGAAAATATTACAGCAATTACATGCAAGTCTCTAAAACAATCTACATATATTCATCTAAATATCTTCCACAGAATTTAGATAACATTAAAGAATAAAAATTGTGTTTAGATAACACAATTGTGTATATATACACTCAGAATACATCTTAGCTTTTAATAAGGCATCTGTGAAACTTTCCTCAGTGTTATACCCACTCTCTCCAATTAACTCATTAGGCTTGATGCATCTGACATACATTCCATAAACAACAATCAAAAGAAGAATTCACAAGAACTTTTGAAATACTCACTTCACATGAATAAACTTTTTTCATTGTCATATGCCTTTCTCAACCATAGCATACAGAGCTGGCTTGTACCAGAATACTGTGTTATTCCTCATGTCTCAGTGTTCAACCATGTATACAATTGAAAAGCATCACTTTCCATGACAACAAGCTTGTTGCAATTCCTGTGTGTAGGATAAACTTGCAATGGAGTATATGGATAGAGGAGCATTTTCCAGTGTCCAATGAGGCTCCTGTTAATACATGTGCTGATGGTCTTCACGGTCTCAAATGCAAGTTCAATAAAATTTTGGATCCTGACCAAAATGTCTTTCAGAAAACATTATCCTAATTTAAAACAAACTGAAAATTTGCAGAATCATGTAAAGCTGCCCCCACTCCAACCAAAGCAGATTATCTGTGCTGCCCCCAACTCCCCCACAGCAGGCAAGCTCTCCACACTCTGGCTGTGCTCACCCAGAGCTTTAAGAATCACCTGATTTAATTGTAGCTGGATCTGGCTTTCAGACAGGTCTGCTTGTTCTCAGATGCGTGGAGGAAAAGACACTGCTGGAGGAAAAGACACTGCATTGCTCAGCCTACTAAAAATCAGCACTTCATGCTGATCTATCAAGTACTTTGCAGATGTTTTAATCAGGTACTTTAATCTATTCATCTATATTTGTTCTAAATAGTATCTATTATTGTATCTAAAATTCCCAGACATACCAGAGGACAGAAGTAAATGGGAAGAACACATTCAAGCCCATTTCCCCCTCATGTTCTCAGTACCAGAACTGCAAAAGGAGCATACAGCACAGCATCTTAACTGACCATAACCTCTGTTCCAAGAGCATAATGTCTGTAGGAATTAGAATCTGACCAGAACACCACTAGAGTGTGCATAGGTGATTCAGGGGTGGCTTAGATCACCCAGCCTAATTTGGAATTGCATCTCCTTCAAAAGGTCAGACATGGAACCAGCAGAGAAGTGAATCAGGGAGTTGATCTGCACCCACTGGATCAAATAACAGGAGCCAGCGTAGCTTTAAATCACTGACTTCCTGTTTTTTGAGCAGGCCATGAACATCAGTACAGTATTTCATTCTATTTCACTCTGACCCCAACTGACAGAGACATTTGCCCACGGTTTAAAATACTCCAAATGTAGGGGTTTAGTTCAAGAGAGTCAAGTACATAGCTAAAATTCATCTTTGTTTTGTCTGGCCTTTAAAATACAAACCCAGCAGCACTGAAAAGGATGCAACTGACTCTTAGTACTAGATTTGTTTCTCTTATGCATATCTAGTTTCCCTGTGTAAGGGATCCCTACAAGTTATAGCACCATTCTAAGCTTTCACATATTTTCTTTAGCTTTACAGCAATGGAGTTTTCAAGTAGGGAGTTGGGGCTGGA